GTGGCAACCTCCAAGTTTTGCTCAGAAGCAAGTACATGGTATTTTATCCACGAATCAGACACTTTCAATAAAAAGTCGTGAAATCGGAGACTCTTGTGTTCTGTATTGAAATATTGACATGTATGGAATGCATTAAATAATGCGCAATTAAAAAGGTACATGCAAACCTTTTTTGACCATTTTATAGTTTTTCTGTATAGGGTAATAACTCAAATATTGATCTGCCCGATCCACTTCTTTCATGTATTTGTTGTAGTCTAAAACACTCAGGTTTTTTTTTATTGTATAATTGGTTTTTCCACATTTTGTTTGAGTGTTAATCAAAGTGGCATTATGTATTGTAGAGATCATTCGTGTCATTTTAGTTTTCGAAGCTCTCCATACCGTGCGAGCACTTCATCTTTCCGTTGATGACAAGTTTCAAATACATTGACATTTGCACGCTTTAATTTTTTCGGAAATCCTCTATTTTGTCGTATTGTTCCACAAACTCGAATTTTCTTTTCAAGTAAATTCCCTGCAAGTTCTACACTGTTGTAATAATTATCCATGTAGAGATGATGCCACTTTACATAAGAAGGTGCCAATAGTTCCATTACTGTTTTAGCTAAAGGCTGTCCAACGCCGGAGTATTTCTTAAATGAGAAAATGTATCCCGTAATCGAATCACACAGCATCCGAATGAGTATGCCATATTTCGTAATTTTCAACGGATTGTAAACTTTAAAATTTAATCGTCCACGCCACGGTATCATTCGGATGTTTTGACTTAGATTAAAATTTTCTTTAAACTTTTTGGAAAAATAATCAATTACGAATTACACTTTGAAAACCCGGTCGGCATTATCCGGTTTATTGTTGTTGGAAAAATGTAAAAATGATAATATTTGTCTGAATCGGTTGCGGGACATCGTTTTGCGAAATATCGGTGTGTCTATTAACGGATTCGTTAACCAATAATCATCGATCCTTGCTTTTTTTACAATACCCATAAGTATAGCAAGCTCTATCATTTTCTAAGTTCGGGTACCGTAACGTCCAAAAATTGCCGTTACGTCCAGTTTCCTTCTATTGCAATTTTTACTGTAGTACTTGTTGGTTTCATTGTTAATATATTCAAATAGATCGTTCCCAATATATAATTCTACGATATCCTCGATGCTCTGTGTATCTTTGGAAAATATGTTTGGACCCGGAGATCCTTCAAATTTATTATTGGTCCTCAAATCAAAGTCTGACCACTATGCACTGTCTTCTTCGTCTGATTCATCCGAATCAGTTGGCAACCGTAGCGTTTGCCGAATTCTTCTTGTAGGTATTTCATTATCTTTCGACGATTTTGCTTCACTTTCATTTTTTTGATATCCATTGTCTTCTTCCTAATCAGCCAAGTCATCCGGAACGTCAGACAAGACGTCCGCGGATTCATCGTAAATAATCGTATCGTCTCCTTTCGTCTGCCATGATGAAAGGGCACAAGTACTTATAAAAACAAAAAACTTGTTAACATATGTAACTTATTGTTACCTAAACAAAACACCAACAGAATGCAAAAGATACTAAAGTGCTGTCGCCGGCCACTGAGCGATACTATGCACACACCACTGTGGTGTCATCGGCCGTTGGTCGCTATTTCGCGCACGGCACCACTGTGGTGTCGCTGGTCGTTGGTCGCTATTCTGCGCACGACACCACTGTGGTGTCGCCGGACGGTATAGTGTTAATAAATGCATTTATATGTTGTACAAAAAGTCACAAAATTCTAAGAAATTGTGTCATTATATAGATAATTGTTTTTCTAATTGAAATTAAAAAGCAGTCAAAATGACTTCCTTGGGCAATCTAGTGTTAAATCTATCACGTCGGATCCGTTCGAGTCTGACCTGTGGGAGTATGATTTGCTTGAAGAGTTGTTACCTAGATGTAATGGCAGAATCTGTGCCTTTTCTGGCGGATTCCGTGAAAGGACATCGGCGTTCGCATTAGCCGTGCCTCCCTCGTAAATTATTTAAAAATTATACTCCGCAAGTTTTAAACCTCATTTAGTCAGACGCGAAGGCGGATCCTTATATGATTTGAGCCATATTAGTGGGCGATGATCCATCACCAGTGTGAACTCTCTCCCGTAGAAATACGGCCTAAAGCAATGCACTGCGTAGACTATGGCTAAAAGTTCGCGTTCGATGGTAGAGTAATTCCTCTCAGCCGTATTCAATAGTCTTGAACAATATGATATAGGTACTTTCCCTTCTTGTCCTTGGCTGAGTACCCCCCACCTATCACGTAATCTGATGCGCGTTGAACTCGCGGTTAAAGTCTGGATATTGAAGCACTGATTCTTCACACAAGGTGTCTCTCAGTACCACAAATGCTTCTTCCTGTGGCTCGTCCCATTTAGAGGCCACTTTCTTCTTTAATAGCTCCGTAAGGGGCTTCGCCAATTTTGAGAAACGCGGAATGAACCTTCTATAATATCTTGCAAGTCCTAAAAATTGCCTAACGTTCTTTGCCTTTTTCGGTCGCGGGAACTCCTTTACAACCAGTAGCTTCTTTGGATCGGGTTTCGTCCCCGATCCTTTGGATTGGCAACGTCCTTGCCAATTATGTGACCCAAATAAATGACCTCTTTCTTCAGAAACTCGCACTTGTCAGGCTGTAGTTTCAGATTCGCCTTCCTTAGCCTTCCTATCATCTTATTGAACTTGACCTCGTGTTCATGAAGTGACCTTGCGTGGAGGTATAGAAGTGACCATGTCGTCCAGACATACGAACATCTCCTCGCCTTGTAGCCCGGTTAAAATAAGATCCATGAGCCGTTGGAAGGTGGCTGGTGCGTTTTTTAAGCCGAACGGCATCCTCGCGAATTCGAAATGCTAATGAGGTATCGAGAATGCAATCTTATGACTATCATCCGGATGCATCTCGATTTGATGAAACCCTGACTTTAAATCGAATGTCGAAAAGTATTTTGCAGAGTCCAGCTGATCAAGAATTTCATTGATGTTGGGGAGGGGATATGCGTCCCCGACGGTCTTCTCTTTAAGTCCGTGGTAGTCGATTACCATCCTTCATTTCGGATTCCCTTTTGAATCAGCTTTCTTAGGCACCACCCATATAGGAGAGTTGTAAGGATAGAGAGAGATGGTTGTATTTTATCGCTTTCTAAAAGTTCCTGCGTCTGTTTATTGATCTCTTCTTTGTGTATGGGTCGAAACCTATATTGCTTCATGTGTATTGGCATCTCGTCGGTAGTGATAATCCTGTGAGTCAGCACCTGTATGCTCTCCAGCTGTTCTTCCGGAAAATGAAAGCAGTCTGCGCCAGCGGATAAGAGGTCAACGACATTCTTTCTTTGCTCGTCGTTCAGATGATTCAGCCGCAGCAATGCTTCTACTTCTTTTGCTCTGTCGCTATTGTTTTTCTTTTCTTTGTTACCTTGACATTCTTTCATGGTTCCAACTTATGCTATTGTACTTCCTTTTGAAGTTCCCGGCGCCTTTAGTATTGTTTCCTGGTACGTTTCAAACGCTTGTAGCTCTAGCGTAGGTATTACAACGTCTTGATCCTTTTCAGTGGTGTTTATCACTCTACAATAAGCTTTATCCCGGTGGTTTTTAACGAACATCTGTCTCATATATACACTTAGTATAGTTTGTATTTTTGGAAAATAGCCTTTGTCGAATTCATTGTTTTTAACGCAGCACTTTAACACAGTACTTGTCCTTGCCGGTACGCGCACAACCTGTCTGTTTACGAACGGCACTTCCTCGTTCGCAACTTTCATGTACTGCTATGTGTAGTTGACGTTAGCACTGACCGATTTCAAAAATTCGCTTCCCAAGATATCGTCCTGTTCGATCGGGAAAGTCGACGCCACCACGTAGAATCGCACTAATTTCCCAAAGAGGTAGACGGCCAACTAATCCTCTGTTTGGTCGTCCGTAATGCCCTTTATTACATCTTCATTGTCGATTTCTGCGTTCGATTTGATAGCACCTTCATTAATGATATTGACTTCCGCGCCGGTGTCAATCATAAATTTGATGTTGCTCCCGAGGTTTTCGATGTCCATACTTATTGTAAGGTGCCATTGCCGTTAGCTTCTAATTTACGATTGTGATCTGCTTGGTTGAGTCGCCTGCATATTCGTTCGTCCCTGAACGTTTTCCGTAGTGACCCCGCTCCTGTCGGATCTCGACAGGCCGCTTGTCGGGTTTCTCTGGTTACTGGAAGTTGAGTTTCTTCTTTCCCTGTTGTTTACCCTTAGCGACGGACTCTGTCGCTTCGACTATTCGGTCTTCTATAATCGATTGAATTTCGGCGGCTTCTTATCCTGTCCTCCGGACTCCGACGGCCAGAATTATACGTGGAGCGTTTATCCTCACTCCTACGTTCACTATAGTATTTTAATTTCCGGCAATCTTTCAAAATATGGCCTATCTTCTTACATTAATAGCAAATCCGCAGACTAGGTGGCCTATTATTTATTGTTAAATTTTTTTTTTACCTGGTCTTTTGATCGAGGGGAGGGAGGTCTCGCAGTAACTTCAACGAAAGTTGACAGTCTTCTTTTGATTCGGGAATCTTTTGCCATATGGCCGGTTCCTTCGCAATTCGTACAAATGATTTTTTCACTTGTGATCGCATGTATTCTAGTAATGTCCCTTGATCCTCCCTTACCGGTGCGAGCGCGGTTCCTTTCTAAAACCCTACTTATTTTTAAAAGGGCATTAGCCGCTGTCGTCAGATCGTAATACCTCTCATGTTTCATGCGTAGTTCGTATTCTTCCGGCAAGCCATTCTCTAACGCGTCGAGCACCTCGTTCTCAAGGCATCTTTGTGTGTAATCGGATAATTCTTCCGATTCTTTGCTTTCCGCCTCGATTATAGCTTGCTTTAATTCCTTTATGCGTTCGGTGTAATCCAAGACTCTCTCGTTAGCCTTCATAAAAATATTGGCTAGCTGGCCCTTATAATGGCTCGCAGACTTTGCAGGTTGGAAAGCTGCTTTTAATAAGCTTACTAATTGCTTTACTGTTTGCAGTTCCTGGTCCTCTGTGACCGAATATACGTGTCCGTCCAGTTTGGCCCGAATTCTCAGAACTAACATTGTTTCTACTTCCGCAGAAGGACGTTCAGGGAATAGGTCCCCATAGCCCTTTTGCATGCTCGCGCGAATTGTAACACGGAGAGATTATATCCATCAAATCGTGGAACTGTTTCCGTGTTTTCCCTCAATTTTAAATCCGGGATCCCCTAAGGCGATTGTTTAATATGCCGGGGCCTTGGTTCTATCCTCATTGTCGTGAATATAATCTTCTTCGTTTAAACCTCTGGCGATCGGACTGGCGTCGGCGCATCGGTTTAAACTGTTGCGCGACGAGTACCGACTTCCCGCACGATTATTTTCTAATGACACGTTCATCATCAATTCCTATCAATCAAGTTCTTTGGTACGAAGTTCATTTTTGCGGCGTTGAAGCATTATCTCTTTTCTTTCTAAATCTAACTCTTGTTTGTTCAGTTCCATTTGTCGATTATTGATTTTCGCGTTCTGGATTTCTATTTCCTTTTCGCGTTTTTCTGTCGTACTTATACGTTCTCGAATTTCTGTTTCTTGATTCATTAATTTATTTTCGTGTTCTTTTATTTTCCTTTCCAATCGTTTTATTCTTTGTTCTAAGGCGGTATTCTCTTCCAAAGAAATTTCTATTCGAGCCTCGCGCTCATCTAGTTTTTCCTCGTATAGCCTAAGCTCTTCCTCAGTGAGAGGAGCCTTAGCAACGGCAGAGGATTTCTGTGTGTTAGCTATTATTATAATATTAAAATGTAAATAAAATTAAAGTGCCGAAAAGGTAGTTAGGACAAAAGTTCTCCTAGGAGGCTTTTCAATCCCACCGCTGCCACCAAAAATTTTATTACTATAATCTCTATATAGTTATGTTATGTCACAGATGGTCGGACGAATAAAGAAAACTTAAATTACTTGAGCTGCTGATGCGGTCAGGCTAAAGATTGAAACCATTTACTCCGACCTCGCAAACTCCTCTCGTTTTGGCACGTAGCTCGGGGTTGAGCGTAGTAATTTATTCCTTTTTATAAAAATGTCTGGTATCACAGAAACTGTCCACTGCTGCCATCAAGATGGTTTGTTGAAGTCTCTTTTGACTTACCAAAATGTATAATCCACCAGTAAAAATTTATTCCTTGAGTTGTCTTTCCTTGTGCCCAGAGACCCTTGATTATCAAGCTACCAGCTACTAAGCGCTACTAAGCGCTACTTTATGGCAGAAATGTGCATTTACAGACCTTCGTATTATTTAGTATGATTTTGGAACTAACTAATATATTATAATGATATTGGACTTATATGAATTGGTTGAAATCGAGAAATGTATATTTGCAAAAAAATCAATATTTTATTTGTTATAATTTTGTACAGTGTGATAAACTTTAAAACACTTCTCAAAATGCATTGCAGGCTGATTAGTGCACGTTTGAGAATAATAAGTTGTTTGACACCTGCCACCAAGTGTTTTCCTGTCAGAACAAACAATGCAATTCCGTTTTCTTTATCCCGCGTCAGGAACATGTAGTTTATTCTCTAATCTATTGACCACAGAAGATGTGGATGAACGCGTTCTCGATTCACGAAAATCACCCCTTAACTGGTCAATGAGTACCTTGACAAACTTGTGGTGCGTCATTGGCGTTTCATTATTTGTTTGTTTTGAGATACGATAAATTATGTATGAGTTAATGACACACATTTACAACCTCCAAAAAATCCGTCATGTTGCGGTGTATTTTCTTCCGTATCACTTTCATCGCTATCGCTATCTATGCAGTCTCTTCGTCGCTTTGTTGCTTGGACGATATCACTATCACTATCGCTATCGTTTTCTTCTACAATTAGTCTTTCTAACATATCTGTATAAACGTCTATCTGGAGCTCATCTTCACTACTACTTGTGTCATGAGACTCATTCATGTTTGAACGTTTTGCCATTGTCCTAATAAAAAATACGAATAAATACATAGGTTAAAAATTTCTAATTGTTATTACTAACTCACAAGATGATATTTACCAAAAAAACTTTTACCAAACAATTTATTTACCAAGAGAAGAATCACTTTTCCGATTTTCTCATTCGTTAGATCTATCTATACCGGGCGAGCTTCAAACCAGACTGAGTTCAGTTTTAGAAATTTTTTTCTTCAGATTTAGACTTGCTTATTTATGATTATAAATCTCACTATACAATGCGTGCTATGTTTGAATACCGACCTTCTACAAACTTGCCTTATCACTCTTTTCAAATGGCGCCTTTGAAGTGCTCGGACCGTAGTAAGCACGCTTATCGCGTTCTCGTATGACACAAAACTCGCTGACATTTCTTTGTATATATCTTAGTAATTTTACTATATTTTGATTTGATTTCTTGTGCCATTTCAGGAGAAAACTTCAGGGAAGCATGCATGTCTCAAAAAATTGCGCTGAAATAACTCAATTACTCGTAGTCACTAATCAAATTTAATGTCCCACGAGAGGGGACATCCGAATGATATGCTAGAATTACGATGCCCCATGAGAGGGGACAGCAGAGTGCAAAGGGTTAAACTTTTATTGCATTAAGACGTTTCCAAATATATTCTTTAGAAGAAATAAAACATTCCTTATACCCATCATGTCAGCAAAAAAAATCTAATGTTGATGATATTGGAAAGAAGTGTGTTATTATTACGGATTGTGGTTCGGTAGATCATTTTGATAATGATAGTGAGGACAGTGATATTGTGCTTCCTGTACGAAAACGTTCACGAAAATTAATCATTGAAAATATCTCCGACGAAGAAAATAGCATTTATCAGTAATTATCGGAATCATAGTTTTGGGAAGAGAAAAATAACGAGCCAAAAATCTGGGAGTATATGCAAACTCCTGGCATAAGAACAGCAATTTTAGACCAGTTAGGTAAAAATAATAGAGACTTAGACTTTTTTAATCTAATGTATGACAATGTTTTTGGGATATTATTGTCTAAAAGAACAAAAAATTGTTATTGATTCATTATCCGCTTTGAAATAATAAATTATTTTTGTTCACTGATGAATTAATCATGATTACGCCCAAGATTGCTTAAAAGTACTAGTTGCGCCCAAACCTTATTCATTATTTCATAATTCCTTTTGTTGCGCTGAAATATACATGTCATAAGAAGTATAAATTTTGTGCAAGTTCGAGCACACGGCGGAATAGTTGAATGACTCGTCGCGCGACCGACCTTGTTTACTATGGTCCGCGCAATTGGAAGCTAGCGTGTAGGCCAAGGGAGTTAAAACTCTAGAATTGAAATATGTGAATCGATCTTTAAGAGCTAATAAGCGAGGAGTGTTTAGAAGACGATGAAGGGAAATTTTCTAAAATTGAAAATGACCAAATTCAAATTGACTATAATTTATTCGAAATTAATAATAAATTCTTACATAATGAGGATGAAGAAAAGAACATTTTGAACAAACAGGAGATAAATGAGAAGACGATTTTCGTCAAGTTCTGAAAACGAATATGAAGAAAATGAGCAGAACATTGAAATTGCTATTGATGGAACTGTTTGGGAAAAAATACAAAAGTTCAACATATGAATGGTCATTACCAAATCCAACAGTATACACGAAAGAAAACATTATAAAGAGTCAAGTAAGAACTATATTTACCTTGATAATTATTATTGAACTCATGTGAAAATGCACAGAACTAGAAGCAAATCGAATGTTAGGAATTACATAAAATCTATCTTTAAAAAAATTAGATACATTTCTTGTTATTTTGTACGCACGTAGAGCATATGAAAAAAAAAAATTTAACATTTTTTATGGAATAAGAAATGGAAGACTACATTTTTTTCAAACACGATAATCAAGAAATGTTTTATAAAAATTTTTCATTTTATTCGATGAAAAAAGTATTCGAAGCCAACGTCTACAAATTGATAAATATTCTTTGATTTCTGAAGTATGGAATAAATTTATTGAAACTAGCTAAAATTGTTACAAGCTGGCCATGAATTTCTGCGTTAATAAACAACTGTTTCCAACTAAAACTAAAGCAAGAAAAGTAACAAATAGGAAAAAAGCTATCGGAATTACCGAATGCGTGTGCATAAATGTAATCATTACAGGGGACAGTCTTGAGTAGACCAAGCAAAGAGTAAAGAGTAAAGAGAACAGAAGGCGGTCTTGAGTAGACTAAGCAAAAAGTAAAGAGAACAGAAAATGGCTTTGAATAGAACGAACAAAGAGTAAAGAGTAAAGAAGATAAGTTGTACCATTATAATATATTAATTAATAAAATCTTTGTTAAACATAAGAGTAAATGATCCGAATTTCATTAGTCTATGTCTTCCATGTAGAGTTACAAAAAATATCAAGAAAAAAAAATACAATATTAATTGAAACTATTCGGTAAAACAAAAAAGCATTGCCAAAATATAACAAAAGAAAGATAATATAGCATATTTTCCAACAAAAATTTATAAATCAGCTAATTTTATGACAATTTATAAAAGTAAAGGAAACAAAAGAGTGAAATAGTTACTTACTATTGTAGAATAATACAAATTCGATGTGGACATAACTGATCAAATGTCGAGAAAATATAATGTGAAATCTAAATCTTCCAGATGTCAACATTAAATATTTTTCAATATTTTTGATTAACCGATGTATCTGCATGAATTCTGTATGAACGAACAATAGGAGAGAAGCTATCAACATGAATTCTTGTTCTAACTCCCAGAAAAATTTGCCACGATATACCCAAAATTGAAAGAACAAAAATAACAAAACATACAAATATCAAATATAAGTAATAATCCAAGAAATATCAACAAATACAAGTAATAATCCACATGTACGGAAAACGTGCAAACTAAGATATTATAAGGACATTAGAGTATCTAAAATCTGCGGTGAGTGTAGAGAAAATATATTCGTGGAAAGAACAGACTAGAAAAATCTATAATCTATAAAAAATGCGCTGACCAAATTGAAACATTTGTCATTTAATTCCAAGTGAAAGAAAATACATTACTCTTGTTCTCTGTTCTTCTTGAATATTAAAATGAAGACTAGATAATTTTTTTATTATTATCTAAAAGTAGTTTTGTTTATTATTTTCTATATTAAATTCACCATGCATACAGTTTGACAAAATATAACTTTTATTTCAGAACCAGTCATTTGACCAGTTATGGTATGAATAGATATATAAAAATCTCGGTACGATTAATACCGACAATAATGACATATTTGAGTATAGTAGCATAGTAAGAAAACGTGCAAAACAATAATTAATTAAAGGATATACCGATAATTAGACTCCAGATATTTATTTAAATGCATATTTTTATAAAAAAAAAAAAAAGAAGAAATCAATGGAACCCAACTATAAATACTTTTTTCATGATTAGGAGATATTAAAAACACATTTTTTATTCTGCATTCTTTGCATAAAGCATAAACTCAACAAATTTATGTTTAAAAACATATGCAGTATATTAATGCATATTTTATTTGTCTTATTTACGTATATTTCATGTTCACGGTGCTCACTATTAAAATATTTTAATGTGTCATCTATCTGTAAATTCATTCCATATAGCAATCATAATAATAATTTCTTAAAGTAATAACGCGTAATATGTACTAACTAAACAATGAAGTATGTTTTCATGACTTCGAAGCACTTACTGAGCATTAAATATTTAATTTAAAATTTAATTAACGTTTCAAATTCGAATAGTGAAGTCAAATTAGTTTAATGCTATCGAAAACTGTGTAAATTTAGTAAAGTGTTTTTGAATATTTAAGATGAAAATAATGAAAATAATTAAAAAAGTATTTATTATGAAATCTGTGGTAAAAGTGTAAAATACGAAAGAAAATGATAGTGCAACATATGAATACATTTAAACATAAAAGAAATGTTGAAGAACAAAGTGATCCATATAAATGAGAAAGTGAGCATCAACCATCAAATTAAAGGAAAAATGAATTTTACAAGGATTTAACACAAGTAATGGTTCCTGGTAATATACCGTGAAGTTCTTTAAATAACCATACACGCAGAAATTTTCTTGCAAAATATATAGATAATTCAGTTCCAGACGAATCTATATTACGAAAAAATTACTTAGATGAATGCTATAATTCAAGCATTCAGACAATTAGACAAGATATAGGAGAATATTACATACGAATTTCTGTAGACGAAACGATCAATGTAGCAGGGTAATACAAATTTAATAGCTCTGTGAGAATGAAACGTCAAAACTGCGCTTATTGTTCTAAAATAATAGAAGAAATAAATTATGCAACTATATCTTACATTGTAAATTCAGCTTTAAGAATTTTATTATCAAATTGTAGTAAAGAAAAAGTTCTTCTACTTACAACAAATGCAGCACCATACATAGTCAAAGGAGAGAAGAAATTGAAATTATTTTATGCAAACATGATACATATTACATGTGTAATGCATAGTCTACACAGAATAGCTGATGAAGTACGACTCTGTTTTCCACTTATTAATACATTAATATCATCTGTTAAGAAAATATTTTTAAAAGCATCACTTCGTATTGAAGCTTTCTATTAATAAATATGCTTAAAAACAATTTGGAATGGAACACATACATACTACTATTCTCCAAATAATAATACAAAAATTCAAGTTAAAAAGCTATAAAGATACTAAGAGAAAAAATATAAGCTACTACACTCATCAAACAAAAGATACCAAAAGATATAAAGCCACTGTAAAGGGATTTCACTATTCATTTATATTCTGTTTTATGATACGATCATAAAACTCACAGTAAACCAAAATTCGTATTGAAAATAAATGTAAAGGGAATGCTAAAAATAATAATCTAGAATTGTAATGGACTACAAAGAAAAAATATCCAACTACAAGAATTTCTCTATCAACACATGATAGACATATGCCTATGATTATATGATTACAGCAAATACACGAAATACCACTTAATCACTTTAACATAGATCCATTCTACATATACACAACATCAAATAGATCAAGCAGAACAAAAGGAAGGAACTGCATTTTAAGTTCGGAAAGAAGTAAAACATTATCTGATGCAAGGACTAAAAGAAAAATACGCACAGATCATCATTACATTAAAGTATGTCTGGAAAGACAGCAAATTCTTGTGATATCATGCTATATTTCATCGAATCATGTATAATTGAGGAAGAAATAAACGAAATACTACTCAAACGAAACCATTATATAATAGCAGGAGATTTCAATGCAAAAAATCACGGAGATCGTGAATAATTAACAAGAGGCAGACTTATACAAAAAATGATATAAAACTAAAAACTAATTTTAATAACGAAAGATAAACTAACTCATTAACCGACAAATGCTGAAGCAGCCTCAGGTATCATAGATTTCTTTATAGCAAATTTTAAACTATACGTAACAAAGGTAAGGGCATTATGAGAACTAAATTCGGATCATGTGCTACTTATATTATGCATCTTTGCAGTAAATCATAATTAACTAACGCAAGTACATTAACAACTGGAAAAACGAACTGGAAAGAATTTAAGAAAGAATTGGATAAACAAATCGCAATATAGAACTTAACATAACAGAAGACATCAAAGAGGCAAAGGAAAAACTCACGAAAATAATTCAAACAGCAGTCGGCGGTTGGTTGTCAATACCGCCGACGACCAACGTAGCGAATAAATTCAACGAAACTCTAATGTATATAATAAAAGAGAAACGTAAAACGGAAAAGATATGAAGGAAAATATTCATTCAAAATAAGAAAAACTTACACAAGATTTAATGTTTATAAAAACTTATTTTAGCTTTTTATCGGCCACAATGAAAAAATTAGAAACAATATGTCATCCAATTCAACAAAAATATATTAGGGTGTCCCTTAAGTTTTTTCGGCGCCACGCTATGTATGACCTCGAGCCAGCTATGTTAGTAAACATGTAGGTTTATCTGTTGTCCGTTTATGGCATCAATTTCAGTCATTTCACAGCTCTTTCAAAGTTCGTTTCGTCGGTGACAAAGTCTCTTTTAAAATCTTTTTCTATGCCGTTCAATATGGATAGCCAAAAAAAGCATTTGCGGCATGTTATGCTTCATTGCTTTAAAAAAGGTAGTAGTGCAAAGGACATTGCAGACGAAATTCGCACCGTTTGTGAAAGTGGTACTACGACTATTAGAACCGTCCGCTATTAGAAATTGGTTTAAGAAATTTAGAGCTGGCAATTTTTATTTGGAAGATGAAGATCACAGCGGCCACCTAGCAACGACAAATATGAACCTCATCAAGAGTATACTCGCTGAAAATCCGCGATATAGTGTGCGCGAGATAGTGGATGCCACTAACATTCCCAAGACAACGGTACATAATCATTTAATCAAAATGGGATATGTGAATCGGTATGAAGTTTGGGTTCCACGCCAATTGACGGAGATCGACCTTATGAACCGCGTCTCTATGTGCGATTTGCTTCTTCAGCAACATGGAAAAAAATCCTTTTATAAAGAGGCTTGTCACTGGAAACGAGACTTGGATTATATATCAAAATGTGCATCGAAAACGCACTTGGTCTAAGGAAAATCGACCTTCAACTGTTGCGAAGTCTTTCATCCGAAGAAAGTTCTTTTGTGCATTTGGTGGGATTGGAAAGTGTACAAGGTGAAACGATCAATACTGCAAAATATTACAATTAACTCGATAAATTGAAAGCCGCCATAACTAAAAAACGGTCAAAATTGGTGAACTGGCGAGGTGTTGTTTTTCATCACGACAACGCAAAACCGCATGTTGCTTTGGCTGTAAGGCAGAAACTCTTACAGTTTGATAGGGACGTTCTACCTCATCCTTCGTACTCCCCAAACCTTCCCCCATCCGATTATTACTTGTTTCTCTCGTTAAAAAATTCTCTTCGTGATAAATGTCACAAATCCGAAAGCGAAATGAAAACGTACCTCGATGAATATTTTACATTTAAGGCTCAACTTTGGAAAGAGGACATAATGAGGCTTCCTGAAAGATGGAAGAAAACAATAGAGCAGAACGATTCATATATAACACAGTAAATCAACCTTAAACAACAAATATCGTCTATTGATTTCGCATCAAAAAAAAAGGAAAAAACTTATGGGACATCCTAATATTTAAATTACATTGATCGTCTGAGTAATATATCTGATAATTACGGAGAAAAAATCAAAAAGAAAGTGATATTATAACAAAAAAGTACAAAATTATCTATATTAATAGAAGTCTCAAAAATTGTGACTAACGAATACATTGAAGGGCCGATAGAAGTATTAGAATGTTACTGGAGTAAATTTAAGTGTGCATCTTGTAATATAGAATGGTCATTATCCGCATACATGTTAATTTTTACGAATAAACCTCCTCAATTAACACCTTCGAATATGGAACAGATGCTTGTAATATATTATAATTCGAAATATAATATATCACAATAATTTCAAAATACATTGTTAATACCTAAAATACCAAATATTTCGCGTACATTTGTATATATTTTCGTGTATAAATATTATATGCTACCTACATATTTATCGTGCATAAACATCCAATCTACCGATAATAAAGAAGATACAAATCATCAATCATCAGATCAATAGAGTTGGATCAAGTAAAAAACAATACACCATTATTATTCAGATAAAGATCTGGAATTATACCGAGATTTCTGACATTAAATTAATAATAACCAGATAGCAAACAAAAAAGAAGGGTAATATAAATAAACTTGTGGATACACTAAATCAAAATTTTTGTAAAAATTACGATCTCGATGAAGTAGTTGATGTATGTATCGATGAATCAATATTATTTCGAGAACGCATAATTCTTAAACAATTTTTAACTCTTAACGCTCCAAGTATACCTTTCAAGCACCACCGATCTACGCCAAATGTGTTTTTGGGTCGTTATCGGTAATTTTTTACAAATAAAAAATAACATTCCTCAATCAATTACAAGCGATCAGTAAAGAAAGTCAGATCTGAAACTGTTTTATTGTAAACCCATTTATTTTTCAATTATATCGAGAAGAAAAATGAATTATCTTTGTGAAGAAAATATAGATAGTGACGATGACAATTTTTCGCATCTATAATGATGTAGCTGTTGACTTGGAAAGCAGTTATAGTGACAGCAGTGATAATGATATGCTTGTTTCTGGAAGAAGAAAAAAATAAGAAAACTTTCATCGAGTGATGAAATGATGACGAGATGAAGAATCACAGGAAGAAAATCTAACCAAGAGTATTTGTAACGTAAGATATTCTGATTGTCAGGAAATTTTTAAAGAAGATATCATTCCACAATGATTTGAATTTTCGACTGGTACAAAAACTTCTGGTCCGTATTTACACAATTTATGTGAATCTAATTCAGTACTTTCAATTATTTTTTACTAATTTGTCCGTAACGCAATGTTTTCTATTAAAAACATTATCCTACAAACAAATTTATATGCAAAGCAGATTCTTAGGGATAGAATATTATCAAAATGCTCTATGTGAAATGACTGGTGTGAGGTTGAATTTGAAGAGATGAAAGCTTTTCTTGGCGTCGTATTGAACATGGGTACAGTTTATGTGAATTACATTCAAAATTATTGGTGAAAGGAATTTGAAACACGAATACCGTTCTTTAGCAAAATATTTAGCTGGAAGCGTTTTTTCCTAATTTTTTGGATGTTACACTTGAATGAGAATGCTTTAAAAGCTCAAGATATCAAGAGTTCAAAAAGTAAACAATTTCATCAAATACTTGAACGAAAAATTCCGAGAGTATTATTTTGTACCCGGAAAAGAAGTTTCTATAAACGAAGTTGTGAAATTTAAGGGGAGGATTAGTTTTATAACCTATAATCCACAGAAACCTACTAAATGGGAAATATTTGTTCTGACTGATGCAAAATCCGCATATGTTTATATCTGTGTAACAAATTGATACATTTCGTTCCTAGCTGTGCAAGATATTACATTTACATTAGATAGATACTATACAAGTTTAGTCCTGATAGAGGAATTGTTACAAATGAAGTGCCACATAACAGGTATAATATAAAAAAATCGCAAACACATATTACAAGGAATTTTTAATCCGAAATTTATCAATTCAAATACAATTGCAATGCGCCATTCTAATTACTTACTCCTTGTTTGGAAAGACAAGCGAATTGTTACTATGTTGAGCACGTATCACACCTTTGGGTCAAGAGTCATAACTAAATTTTTATGAAATTGTACTATCGAAAAAGTTTCAAAACCAAATGTGATTGCTAATTATACGAGTAATATGGTTGGTGTAGATAAAGCTGATCAATATGCATCAACATATTGTTTCCTGAGAAAATTGTTGAAATGATGGCAGAAATTGATCTTTTGGGGACTAGAAACAAGTGATAATAAATTCTTATATACTTTACAAGCTTTCTCAGGAAAGAAAAGGAGAAAGCTCTTTATCAGACTATAAATTTGTCAAATTATTAGTAAGTCAGTTCGTAAGTAACTTTCGGAATAACAATGTGTATGACAGCCCTTCCTTTCAGACGTGATATATTAATGATTTCGACAAAACATTTGGCGGAAACGGTAACTATATGTAAAAATAATTATACACGTGAAAAATTGAAAGTGTTTTTGATTATAATATAGGAAAATGTAATGTAGATTTGTCTGAACATATTCTATATGATAACATATTCTACACAAAAAAAACCCTCCTATGATATATAGAATTAGTTAGCGAATTGTTATTAAATACATCAGATACATATACGCAATACAAATCAATTACATAAACTGCCAACGAAAAAAAAAATAAAGATCTCTGACTTTTGAAGTTAGTTAATTAATTGCATGACTCATATTACATAGATGACTCATACCAATAAAACAAGAAGATACTATCCTAAGCTAATGAAACTAGACTATGCTCAATAAAAAAACAATTACAACTGTATCATTCACGAGTAAATCTAAAAAATTAATTATTAATGGCTATGTTCATCAACAATTAATAGAAAAAATTACAAACAGTAACTCATGTCAAGTCGAATCTTTCATCCTTGACATAATATATACTGTAGAGACTTAAATTTGTTCACTCACTGCTTAAGAAAATCCACAATAGCTCCAAAACATCGCCCAGTTGTAGCTCGAAATTTATGTAAGCTGTTCCGCAATAGGTCCAAAATTAAATAAATCAACGTAGATGGAAAATTAATTAGATTGAATTTGTAATACATTGACTTAATGACAATGTAAGTCTGAAAAAGGATTAAACACAATTTTTATTAAATTTATAGAAATAAAAAAGATCGTAGAATTATGTTAGCTATTAAATTAAAACATTTATTTACCAATATTCTTCGATGGAAGTGTACTAGATCCTTGATCATCTTCCACTGATTCAAATACGCAATAATTATTTAATAAGAGTCAAACAATGAATTTAATTCGCGAATATCTATTGTTTGTTTTATATATAAGTTATATATAATATCTATTGCTTGTTTTATATATACAGTATATCTGATTGTAGACAATAAAATTCTATACGAACAAATATTGATTCTATGACTGTTTTGCACCCAAATTATTCATACAGACATATTCCTAAAAGTGTTTAACATCATAAAATGCAAACAAATTTAAATTAACCGAAAAACATTAACAACAAATCTACTTCACAATTCCTTCTTTATTTTATCGAAACAAACATCGATTCATCTATGGCTGCACGAACAACTGCAATCATAATCTGAAAAAGAAAACAATAACAATATCATTGTACAATATAAAAAAATTGTTAAAAGTATAAAGTCAAAATATAAAAGATTATTCAAATTCTTACTAATAAAAAGTAATAATGAAATAAACAAAAACATTGTAATGGTAATAAAAAGAATTAAAAATAACATCACCTACGAATCACAATATTATCTAAAACATATTAATAATGTTCACGATGCTAATTATTTTATAATAAAAATACATAGTATAATTCTTAATAATTATGATAATTATTAATTATTCTAAAATAAAATATAGTTAAATTTTCACTGGAATAATTAACACGCAAATACACGCAAATACTATGCAATAAAAGAATAGCCGAGAATGTTATTGCGAGTAGGTATCGTATCATTCTGAGTAGGAGAGGTCACCAATACCATGGTACACCATCCCCGGCACAAATCTCTCATAAAGTCGTACATGAAAACAAATTTCCGAGAATCATTAACAGTATCATTTCTGATAATGTAATAGAAGATTTATTCGCATTTACGTACCTTCATATATCCAAACAAACTTGATCTTTTTTTTTAACAGCACACTTAGCTTACCTCGGCAACATAAGAAAAACAGCAAAATATAACACATGACCTTCACTGTGCTTTGTGTTTCCAACTTCGTCGATTCATAGAATTTTATGTATTATATCTGTAAAATGTGTATGTATATTACATATAATATATAGTAGGCAGCATATGTAGTATGTATTATAACATAAACAATAATATAATACTCTTTTGACAACACAAGCTCTTATAGAATGTCTCTTTCTTGTTTTTCAAATCCTACCATTTTCTTCTTATCTATTTACATATATTTATCCTTATTTTATATTATAAATAAGATAGTATTCGCTTGACAATAATAATTCCGGACAAGAACACTTGCTCACCGATATGACAAAGAAATGTCTTAATTTTGAGAATTTTACATATGTATAATATATGAGCGTATATGTAACAGATGTATGAACATACATATATACCCATGACGACTCATAGATACAACGTGTACGTGTGATATATATGCATATATAAATATAGTATTAGTATCCATGTATGCATATGTATTATATGTACATATATGCATATGTATTATATGTACATATATGCATATGTATTATACGTATGATGTATTGTAAATATGTGTACTAGAATATATACGATTTAGATAAAAATCGAATATAACACATAATACGATCAGCCAAGATTAATAATTGTTAGACTAAGTTATCTTAAGAATAAATTATTTTAAGAAGCACACACATCGCGAAAATAAGGGACGAAAAATCGAGAAAAAATAAAGAGCAATAGCACGGCGGTGGACATGTAGATACATGTTATTTTTGCGAATATCTCTAAAACGTAACATTTTCATAACTTGCGAACATTATATCGTAGAAATCTCATGTATGATGATCTATTGTCTACATTGGACGAATTTGTAAATTAGAAAAAAAAATCTTAATAACCTATAATTACAAGACGACAAAACTTCGTTATCACATATGGATCCTAACTGGCCTCAACAATAACTGCGACAGGAATGACAATGCGCCACCTGGTAAATATTTCGTACCAAATATATATATATATATATATGTATATATATTTTAAAGCATGGCCAATGATATTGATAAGACTCGATTATCTTACCGTTGAGTGCAAATGTTTTGATGCGATTGTCTGTAGATTCCTCCCGAACTATTCATGAATTAGGAAAGAGAAATGGAAAGGGAGGAGTTTAAGAAAAATGTGTCAGGAAAGGGAAAGCAATATCTTTATTGATCGTAAGCATGTCAAGATAGTTCATTCGAAATGTTTAAACAATCTCATGTGTGGTCCTTGTCCTGGTGACTGTGTGGATCCATAAGAGTTGTATTGATATTTGAAGGATAAGCGCCAGATAAACTCTTGGCTCGTCGCACCTAAGAGTCTAATTTCACAATTTATTTATTGCCCAGCTCGACACATTATTGAAGACTAGGTACTTGACTAAAAATGCCTAAACTTGGACAAAGGTAGCAGTGTGTTTTTATCTATGCTCATTTTTAGCGAGTATCCGAGTTACAAAGAGCAGATATTTCAAATAATGATATATGACTCTTAGAAGAAAGTACTGTGAGTGATGCACGTGTACGTGTACAATTTATAATACACATATACATAGACATAAATATCTATATATATATATATGTATATATATGTATATATACATATATATATAATCGTACCCAATTTCTTCGAAAGGAAAAACTTTATATCCTATTTTATTTTCAGAATTGCGCATTTGAAATATCTTACATAAAGTAAAAAACCCACGATTAATCAAAATTTTGAACTATTAACTCTTGCGTAATATTACTCTTACTTAATACACAGAAAATGTGAGATATTTTGTCATTTGCTCATATTGTCTTAACAATTGACACATCAAAAACATTTTAAGATTTTATAATTATATTTCGTGTTATTTCAGTCATTCTTGTTATTTTATAGTTTTCTTATGTAATTTCATAGATGAGATATTTTTATTGTCAAATTATTAAGTTTTTACTCATCAATCACTTTATATGTATATACATACATCTTCAAAAATTCTGCATTTTTACAAGATTATTTATTTATATATATTTTTCTGTTAAAGAACACACAGTTAATTTGTTATTTTATGTAACAAATTGTTACATAAAGTTATTCTATGATTATATATTATCAAAACATCTTTAGAAAGTTAATCTTCAAAGTATAAAAAAACGGCTAAGAATTCCCAGTTCACTAATACACAAAACTGATATATAATTTTATAAAATATTCATCATTAGTACGGAAAAATTAATGATTCTGAACGTGGCATTAAATTAAAAATGGAAAAAAGGCTGTATTTAAAAAAGGGAAGGATATAGGTTAATAAGAAAATATGCGGCTATGGAAGAAATTATTTTTATTTTCTTATCAATGAAACGACTTTTCTGGTTTTGATATAAGGGCCAAAGTATTGGCCTTGCAATTTCATATCTTTTAACATTTCCTTATAGAAAATTTGAAACTTTACAGACAGCAGTAGCATAAGTCGCAAAGTAACAAAAATCTAATTTATTTTTAAGTGAAATTCATGATGATATTTCAAAACAATATTAATTATTTATATAAATGTACTAATTAGATTATTCTATGCAATGAAATATTTTTAAAAACATTTACATACTTATATTAGAATCAAAGGATATCTAGTCCAAAGACACATCCGTCTGTTGGGAAAGTTTACGTTTTCTCATGCATAACGAACATAAATTTGTAACTTATATATTATATTTACATTTTATCATGTTTTTATTAATAATAAATAAAAATTATAATAATGATAATAATCATCTACAATCTTAGAACACACATATGAAACCGAACATATGATATCATATGATAACTTTGAGATTCAAAACTGAATCTTTCCAGCTCAGATAAAACTCTACTTTGTAGATGATCAATAAAAAGCAATTGTTTATGAGACTCAAGCATGTTGAGATTTTCCAAAGCGTAACTAAACAACTATATTTATGATGATATATGGTGATAGTAATATAAAAACAAAAAGTAATAATATTTTATTTTTTGTAATAAAATGTATGTAATATATTTATTGTCTTCTGAATTACTGTTGTTTATGTTCAAATTTTTCAATTTCATTTAAAACATTAACAAATCTGTTTTTATTGTTTATTAAGGTATGATCATCATCTACAACAAATGTAACCAATAGTATAAAACATAATAATATTCAATTTTCAACTCTTTATTTTGTTTCAAAAATATTATTTAACAAATTAAATATACACATTGACTTACACATTGACTTAGACAAAGATTAAATAGGTAGTGAACATTTTAATTGTAAATTAATCTATCTTAGTGTGATTTTATATATGCTATAAGTAGCAATACCTATTTTGCATTAACATGATCTACGTTTACTATTAATTGACTTGTACTTGAATGTAACTTACAAATTTTTATAATCATTAATAGATATTTTGTATAAAAATATTTCTCTTCCCATAAAAAAGCATTTTTAATAAAATAGATATACATTTTTTAAGTTTAAGGATGTTCATTAAACATGGTTTTATAATGATTTACGTAATCAATGAGAACAAGCGTAATTCTTGACCGATTTTGATAAATAAGGTCGTATTTTAAAGACGAAGGATTAATCTAGGACATAATTTTTCTGAATTTTTGAAAAAGCTTTATTTTATTTAAAAAAATCGTGTTAAAAATAGTATTTTTTCAAGAATAGTTTATAAACAAATAAAAAAATTGTCCCAAAATTCTACGAAGATTTATGTTTACTATTTTAAGAGTTATGTTACTTATGTTTAAAATAAGACCTCATTCATTAAAATTGATCAAACATTACTCCTATTCTCATTGATGAAGTAAATAATGTTTTCGACATTTTTCGCGATGAAAAAGTTTAATACTCGAAATTTGCGACGTAAGAGAAACTTGTATCCCCTCTACTGATTATTATGTACACGATTGAATGTAGTATGTTTGTATTCGTGAAATAGCTCGTCTATGTACGTAAAGCTCGTCTATGTCTGAATATTTTCAAACGCAAAGAAATACGTTTCACAGAGAAGCTACGGTAATTCATTCGGTCATTTTATTAAGCTTTGGGCAATTGTTTCTATGATAAAAATAAGAAAATACGTGTCCAATCGTTTATGTCAATGTATTCGAGTTTTTAAAATATTGTTAAATTTTAGAAAAATTTATAATTCCTTATAGATTTTACGGATTAAAAATTAAGAAATTCTATAAGCAATGTATAGTACATTGGCAAGTATCTAGATTGAAAATTAAAGAAATGTTAGATTCGAAGGTATAAATAATTTCGGTTATTTTTTTATTATATCAATATAAACGAAAATAATGAATTAATTTGCTCTTTTTCTCCTTATTTGATAATTTAGTGCGGTAGCGCTATTCAATCTCATATTTATTTCTTCCACTAATGGCTGAATTTCTGACGGTGATCTCTGCCAAATAGAACACAGCAGTATAATTTTGTTCGATAACATACTTATCAAGTATATATATATATATTATATATTATTTTTAAAAAAGGTCAAAACACGAGTTCGTTTCCACATTACGAGATTTTTCTCCCAGTACTATTTTGTTATGGTTTCCTTTGTACGAGTTCACTTCATATTATTATTATTACTACTACTATTACTATAATAATAATAATATGTAATATAATAATATAATAATAAGAATAGTAATAAGAAAAAATAGAAGAATATACTTATATTATATACATCATGACACATATGCTGACGGTAATTTATGATAATGAGGGGAATGACTAACCCGATAGGATAGATGCATGGTGGGGACAGACATTTATGCTTGTTTCCTAGTTCATATTTTGCTTATACCTGTCGCTAAGAACACATACACTTCGTACGAAAGGTAATTAATAGCCTTAAAACATTCAATTCAACTAATAGTTTAATTTTTGTAATAGCAAAGGTCAATTTGTAATTTATTTTATTTTATAAAAACTACTTTAACGCTCTAGTTACCCAATGCTTTAATTGCAATTGTGATCTCGTTGAGACTGTTATAGCTCCTCCGACAAGAAACATAACTAACACGCCTCAGCGCCACTAAATACACACGTAGAAAACGAACAAACAAGAGAAAACAAAGATGCCAAAAAGCAAAGGAGATTACAAAGGTGTTGGAAACATAAAATCATTCATTATTTCTTTGATTCTTCTTGACCACCGCCATAGCTGCTAAAGATTAAGCTATTGTGTACATGCCAATGTTAAATAAATTTGTCACAATTATTGCTTGGTATGCAAAGTTTCTTTCTACATTGTGAGTTCTCCATGAAAAACTCACGATTGGTGACTCCGACGTGATCTTTGTGCATCAAGAACTCCTACTAAAAGAAAAATGAATCAGCGTCAGTCATTCTGCTCCATTATAATACATGAGATGCAAAAAAAGGAAAGAAATTAATAAATAATAAATACTAAAAATTACATTACCCTCATGTACAGAACATCTGAATAAAAACACAAATACCGAACACTATGTCAAAAGTCAACAATATATACACAGACCTATTAGAATTCGGCGCGAATCTGAATCCGATTTCCACGAATCAACAACAATAGCAAGTTAAACACATTGATAACAGAGGATACAGACGGTAAAGAAACTCATCCTGAACAAATGAATCAAAACAGCAATAGACAAAAGACGCCACCAAACACTTCGACAGCATCACCCGAACAGCATCAATAACAAACCAGAAAAACTAGCATCGCTGTCTTCAGTAGGAGCAGTGAATGACAGAAACTCCGTACTAAATGAACTTCGAGTACACATTTACAAAAACACTACCAAACAGAAATTCCAAATTGATTCTGAGACTGTCGTCATAATATTCGCAAAAAAGTTCCGTAACCATCAAAATATTGACTCACACACTCTATGCTGCAAATTCATCACAA